CTAGAGTTTTGAACTAGGAAGATGGGGCAAATAGAGGCAGGTTTCAAACTGGTAGGAGTGCTATGGTAGTCTGGTCCCTGAAGACATTTGTCAGTATGAGCTCCATCATTAAGAACTAATAAACGGTCTCAAAAGTCCAGTCTTTGCACATTGGAACAAAAAATACAATATAGACCTACTGGTTTTAACTGCATCCCTTTAAGGACTGAGGAAAAAACTCCAAAAGGAGCTTCCCCAGCTCTCTCCTTCATGCTTATTTGGAAACAGATGTTCTATATTATCTTTCTGGTTATTTCTTGATTGTTTTTCATATAAATGACCATGATCAATCATTAATGTTTTCTATTGCATGTCTACATATTCTGGATCAGGAAGGTGCAAAGAAGGATGCCAGTAGCTAACTTAAAATGTACAGAATTTAACCAGGTTAGAGATTCAAATTTCCAACCCAAATGCTATGATTTTTCAACTTTAAGATATCACCTCACACATATTAAATTGACTCATATGATAGAAAAGGAAAATGACAAATGCTGTAGAGTGTGACATTTAAAAAGTTCAAGAGACATAGTTTCTGGGTAATTAATCATTTATTAATAATGCTAGCTTTTATTAGTAAAAGCAATGGTCAGCTGGCTGTCTCTCTTTGACCAAAGATGACTCATGGTGGTGGGCTTGCAGTTTATATGCACTTGGAAGAGTGGGGTTTTCTGAGAGTGGCCATCAGCTCTGGTTGGTTAAGAATTAATGAGAGAATGAATATTGCAATGAGAGATGAATCCACTCTAGTGATGGGCTGGGGGATGTAACATTGATTATGTCATTTACTTCTAAATTTCTCAGCCTTGGGCAATCTAATTAAAGAACTCCCCTACCCAAACTGGAGTAGAACACAGTGGGCAGCAATTCACCTAGATAAGATGGTCTAGGTAGGGTAAAATTTTGGCAGAGATTAGTAATGTCCTTCAAAGGCTGGGCTTAAAACAAGGAAATAAGACAAGGAAAAAGCCTGGGTCTCTCCCATAATTGGTTATTAATAATCATTTTTCTCAAGCAGATGTGGAAAAATAAGTACACTAATGTTGGTGGAGCTATGGACCAGTCCAACCATTCTAGAGAAAAATTTGGAACTATACCCAAAACTACAAAACTGTTCATACCCTTTGACCCAGTAATATTAATACTAGGTCTGTACCCCAAAAAAGATTAAAGAAAAAAGAAAAGAACCCATATGTACAAAAATATTTATAGCAGCTCTTTTTGTGGTAGCAAAGAATTGGAAATTAAAGAGATGCCCATTAAGTTGGGGCTGAACAAGTTGAGGTATATGATTATGACAGAATGTTATTGTGCTATAAGAAATGAGGGTGGGGATGATTTCAGAAAAACTTGAGAAGACAAATGAACTGATACAAAGTGAAGTGAGCAGAACTAGGAGAACATTATACACAATAACAGTAACATTGTAATGATAATCAACTACGAAAGACTTAGTTACTATAACCAACACAATGGTCCATGACAATTCCAAAGGACTCATGATAAAAAGTGCTGTCCACCTCCAGAGAGAGAACTAATAGACTCTGAGTGCAGATTGAGGCACATTTAATTTTGTTGCTTCCCCACTCCCACAACCTGGCTAATGTGGAAATGTTCTGCATGACTTTACATATATGGGTGTCACATTTCTTATCTTTTTAATGTGTGGGGGAGGGGTGGAGGAAGGTGGAACATTTAAAACTGAAAATAAAAATAATTTTTTTTAAATGCTAGGGTTTTTCTTCTCTAACTGGGGTTCCAGAGACATATGTGAGAGAATCTTATAGCAGTGGTTTTCATTAATACTCTTTATTTATAAGGAAGGAAATAAGCATTTACTTTGCCAAACACTTTAAAAATATTGTCTCATTTGCAAAGGGTCACATTAGTGTCTAAGGTCACATTTGAATTCAGATCTTCCTAACTCCAGGCTCAGCACTCTACCTACCATGCCATCTAGCTGGCTTTAACCTAGAGGCTCCTAAAATATCAGAGATAGAAAAACCCAGATAAACCAGGACAATTCATCTCTAGGCTAAAGGCTCCCAAAAAACATTATTGTAGCCAGATTCAGATTGCTAGACAAAGGGAGCCTCAAGCAAAATCTCCAAGCAAAAGGTAGGCCATAGAAGTGGGGAACAAAAGAAAGTCTTGTATTGAGTTGTCCAGTAAGAGGAGAAAAGTGGAAAGAATCAGCTTCTCCCCTTTTCTTACTAGGAGGGAGAGAAGGAGGAGGAGAAGTAGGAGGAGGAGAAGATGTCCAGTCAAACTTTGTTCCACAGTGATACCTGATAGTCACACCAACATGTAAGTTCTGATGCTGAAACTAGATTGTAAACTCTTAGAAAGATGAGTCTGAGGACTCTGCATTACTAGCACCTCATACAGAGTGACTACCAGGTAAGTGTTTGTCAATGGTGATAATTTAGTGGTATCTATAAAATATTAAAGACTTAGAGGTTGGTCTCTGGTATGTTACATAGGAAAGATTTGGGGAAGGAAAAAATCAGATGGGATGAGGAAGCATGGAAAAATTGCAGTTGGCAGTAATGGAGGGAGCATTCATAGGGATGAAATAATGGGGAGAAGATTACAAGAGTTTTCATAAATGTAAGAGGGCTTGCCTGAACATACCCATATCTCCTACATAAATGTTGATGGATCAGAAATTAAAGAAGTAATCAAAACTGTAGATTAGTCTGGGAAGGTTTCCTTGAAGAGATTGATTTACAGCTAGATTTTTAAGAAAGAATATACTTAAAACTCAAAATCTTATGGAAGTGAATGTTGAAAACTAAAAATTAATTAATTATTTTTTAGAAAGAAGGAATATAGATTGAAAGGAACTAAAGGCTCTTTACCCAAGTGGAGGCAATATTGTTAGCAAAGCCATCTAATCAGAAAAGAAAGTCTGGGGAGAAAGTGGAGGGTGGGGAAAAGAGTCAAGGGATAATTGATAGCAAAACTGAGCTGGAAAAAAATTTGAAGGATTCATTACATTGATGAGATAGAGTGGGGACTGAGATAAGGGAGGACTCTGGAAATCAATCAATCAATAAACATTTATTAAGTGCCTACTCTGTGCCAGGCACTGAGATTCCATCTCTCAGCCCTGGGCATTCTCTCTGGATGCTTCCCCCATGCCTGGAACCCTTTCCTTCCTCCAATCCAACTATTGATCTCCTTGGCTTCCTCTAAGTCCCATCTAAAAATCATACCTTTCATAGGAAGCCTTCCCCAACCTCTCTTAATTCTAGTGCCTTCCCTCTGTTATTCCCTATTTATGCTAGATATAGTTTGCTTTGTATCTGTTTGTTTACATGTTGTCTCCATTAGATTATAAGCTTCTTGAGGGTAGGGTCTGTCTTTTGCCTCTTTTTGTATCCCCAGTGCCTGGCATGTAGTAGGTGCTTAATAAATGGGTGGGTTTTTTAATTGATTGATTGAGCTAGGTGGGACAGAGGATAGAGAGCTGGATCTGGAGGAGTCAGGTGGACCTGAGTTCAAATCCAGCCTCAGACATTTAGTAGCTGAGTAACTCCGGACAAGTCATTTAATCTCTGTTTGCCTTGGTTTTTTTTTTATTTGAAAAACAGGGATAAGAATAGCACTTAGCTCCTCCTTATTGTGAGGATCAAATAACTTAACAATTGTAAAGCACTTAGAACAGTGCCTGACATGTAATAGACACCATATAAATGTTAGTTATGATTATTATTATTAACAGGTGACTTAGGATGAAGTATAGCATTTATAAAAGCCTAGATCTAAAACTGGAAAGGGACATTCAGCCATTGAGTTCAACCTCCTTTTTACAGTTAAGGAAACAGAGGTCCAGACTTTTGAAATGACTTGTCCAAAGTCACATAATTAGTATCAGATGGGGTTTTCTGCTTTCTGACTCCAGAGCTCTTTCCACTTACCACACACAATAAAACCCTACTGTTCCAATGACAGCTGAGATTTCAGTCATTGAAAATAGGTGCATTTATCTTTTTTATTTTTAAAAGCATTGTTAAAAGGGTTGTGACCCACCCTTCGCCGTGTTGGGTCTTAAAAGGATGCCTGTTTTGTCTTCCACTAGTCCTGGCTCTATTCCACTGGTCTGCTCCCCCATCGTATATAAATTATGAGGATCTCTTTGCAGCCCATGAGACAAAGAAGTGTGTGTTGCAAGTGAAGGGGGGCGCTTTAGAATAAGGTAGAAGAGACAGTGTCCCCAGGGACGGAAGGGGTTGCTCTTTCCTTCCTTGTGCCCCAAGTCGTTGTCTCTAGGCAGCAACCAGACAAATGCTGCCTGGTTTCCGAGATAGATGACTTGCCTAGCCCACGAAGTTGCTACATCCGTGAGGTTTCATGTGGGGAAGCAGAATAGCGCTCCTCCCCTCCCATTCCCAAATTCCCCCTCTCTCCCCACTACCACCACTCCTCCTGCCGGATCACCGGGAGAGAGGCTACGGTGAGTTGACTAGTTGTCTTTCAACTGTCACAGGCATAACAGGGAAGAGGGAAACAACAAGACTGACTGACAGTGACATAGATGAGGCACACCCCTCTCCAGTACCAGCCGCTAGGCTAAGATGAGGGCTGTTTCACAGAATACATTTCCTCTCCTAGGCCCCCAGCGGAGCGTGGAGCGGCTGTCCAGATCTCTAGGAGGGAGGTGGCTGATGGAAGGGCTGAGGAAGAGGTTTTCTTTTAGGTCTGCTGTCAGCTCCCACTCCCTCCCTTTTCTCTGCTTTAATACAGTCAATGAACCAGAAGAGTGAGTTTGAGGAGGGGGAAAGAGAAGAGGGGAGAAACAATAATAATAAAACAGAGGAAGGAGATAAATCGGGACCCGTAAAGGAGGAGGAGGTAGTCGAGGAAGGCAGAGGGGAGAAGAAAACAGAAGTGGGGGGGTAGGGAAGGAAAGAAGGAGGGGGAAACAGGGGACTATAGGGAAAGAAAAGAGAGAGGAGGGGAGGGGAAAAAAGAGAAGAGGAGGGGAGGGAAGAAAAGGAGAGGGGAGGAGCCCCCTGGCCGCCAGCAGTCAGCCAGCCCCGCACGCCCAAGCCTTAGACTCCGAGCATCGGGAGTTTGAGCCCAAGCAGCGCTTGGGGGCTGAGCTGGGAGGGGGCGGTGCTGGAGAAGGGGAGGCAAAGCACGCGGGGCAGCTGAGTTGGTCAAGGGTCCGGAGTGTCGGTCCAGTTGGACGCGGCCTCGAGGAGAAGAGCTTGGTCTCTGCCCTTTTCCCTAGGGCATTGCCGTCGCACCCCCACCCTTAAGCCTCATTCAGTGTTCTTCCCCCGCACGACCTCCTAGCGCCAGGAGAGGGAGGCAGCGTTGCGGGGAGGGGGTTCGGGGCAGACTATGAGGCGCCCACCATGGTGCGATGCGACCGCGGGCTTCAGATGCTGCTGACCACGGCTGGAGCCTTCGCCGCCTTCTCCCTCATGGCCATCGCCATCGGCACCGACTACTGGCTCTACTCCAGCGCGCACATCTGCAACGGGACCAACCTGACCATGGACGAAGGCGGCCCGCCCCGCCAAGGAGCCCGAGGCGACCTCACGCACTCCGGCCTGTGGCGGGTCTGCTGTATCGAAGGTATGTTCCGCCCCGCCCCCCCCTTACATCCCCCCCCTCCCGGGGACAGGGGTGGGGAGGCATAGGGGCCACGAGGAGGCGAGGAGGGGAAGCAGCTACCCCTTGAGCCCTAGGGTGGGATGGAAGAAAGGGCTGAATGGAGCGGTACACAAAGAGGATGGTGCCCCCAAGTGAGCCAAGTCTCTTCGTTGTCCAGATGTGGACCCACCTCTGCTCTCCCAGGTGGACTAAACCTCCCCTTTCTCTATCCACCCCCCTCCATCCTAGATGCGTCCCAGCTATCCTTCTTCCTACCCCCCACCCCTCTCTCTCTCCCTCCCCCCTCCCCCCAAACACACACACCAGCCAGAGGGCTCCCGACGTGGCCAACTCGGGTGGTTCCGAGTGAAGGGGTCGGGGTGAAGGCGAGAAGGGGTGGGGTGGAAGGAAGAAGAAGAGAGGGAGGAAAAAGGGGAGGGGAGGAGGAAAAAAGAGAAAGGGAAGAAGAGAAGGAGGGAGGGGGATAGGGGAAGGGGAGAAGGTTGCTTGGCAACCAGTGTCTGTGCAACTGCTATGGGAACGGGCAATCGTCGGGAGGGGCGGATGGGGACGAGGACGGGGGCCTGGGGAGGCTTGGGGCCTCCGGTCATTCTCTGCTCCAGCCGCTCCCCGGGGCGGGCTCCCGCGCTCCAGGGTGCAGCCAGGCGGGCGGCTAGGAGCTGTGGTGGCAGCGGCACAGGCGGCGGCGACTCTGGTCTCTTCGGGGACTGGACGGGGTGCGGACCAGGTGCTAACCACGGAGCCGCACGTCTACTGGTGTCCTTCGCCACTTCTCAGGGGAGGTTGGGGGGCTCTGTGGGAGGTACCGCCAGACTCCAGAGCTGGGAAGCAAGCGCTCCCGCCCCTTAGCCTCGTGGCCGGACCCAGGGACACTGGGTGACAGTGACCGTGATGGTGGCGGTGGCCACGTCAACTCCCGCCGGTGGTATCAGAGAGAGCAGGCCGTGCCTGGCGGCCCGAATCAGAGACAGTAGCCGTGTCACTAAACCCCGGAAAGCAGCGATAGGCGTGTGTGTAGTCGGTCCTCTGCTTGGGACATGGGTTCTCCAGAAGTCAAAACAAATGCTCATCTCCCCAAGGCTGACACTGAGGCTGGGGCTCCGGTGGCGCACAGCTGAATAAAGAGGGAAGACGGTGAGGTAGGCAGGGGAGAATCCCAGGGTCGCTCCCCTCGTCCCTCCAATGTGCTAGCTGGCCTTCACTACCACTCAGTCTCTGGACCAACTCAGCTGCAGCAACTTGAAAGAAACAGGTGGCTGTTTCCAAACAGCACAGAACGGGACATCCTAGGAAAACATGAAGAGTGAAGCCCGCTCCCTCCAGGAAGGACTGTGGCTTTATCATCCTAAGTATAAGGGCTTTAAATATCACCAGAGAGAATTTTGACAGCCTCTCTAGTCTGTTTCAGAATCTGTGAGATTACTTAGGAAGTTCTGTCCACCTAACCTAAAATTCTCTCTGCAATTTAGGCAAGCCATTCAGCCTTTTAGAGTTGAGGATTGATGGAAAGGTGGGGAAAACAGAAAAAAGACTCATTGGAGAGGCAGCTGTGTGACCTTGGGCCAGTCATTCTCTCTCTCTTTCTGTCTCTGTCTCTCTCTCACTGCCTGTCTCTGTCTCTGTCTCTCTCTCACTGCCTGTCTCTGTCTCTCTGTGTGTCTCTTTGCTTCTCTCTGCCCCTCTCCGTGTCTCTGTGTCTGTTTCTCTGCCTCTCTGTGTATCTGTCTCTGCCTCTGGCCCTCTCTCCCTTTCTCTCTGCCTCTGCACAATGAGAGAATTAGACTAGAACTAGATGATCTCTGTAAGGTCCTGTTCAGCTTTCAATCTAGGGACCTATTATCAGCAATCTAGTCTGGAAAATCCAATAAAGAGGAGACTGATATTGCGAAGTTACTTTCTGTTTCCAACAAACATTTAGTAACGCAGCCTCAGCAGTGGGCCTGACTTTGAATCTCAGGCTCTGCCCCTTATATTTCTTTGACCTGGGGTAAGTAACAACTTCTCTGGGCCTCAGTTTCCTCTTCTGCACAATGAGGAAGTTGAACTAGATGACCTCTAAGGTTCTTCCCAACTCTTAAATCTCTCATGAACCTACACACAGGAGTGTTCAAGGCACTAGATACTGTTTTCCTCTTCAAGGATGATCTAGAGCTGTCAGTTCCAGCTTCTTTATTTTCTCATCTCTAATCCTGTCATCTCCTACTCTTCTCCACCTACTTCTTTTTCCATTCCTCCTCCCTCCCTTTCTCCCCTCCCCCACACCTTACATATTAAGAATGCACTTGGTAACTTGCAGCTTAATGCCAGGGCTAAATGGAGTCATCAGGTAATAATACTAAGTGTGAAATCAAAGACTTGGATAAACAACAAAGCATGTAGATCAGGAGTTTCTCCCCCTCCTTCCTCTCTTTTGAAAAATACCATTCCTTTTATGAAATTGCTCAGCTCTTGAACACCTACTCTTCTAATCCAGAAAAGACACCCACGTCACTACGTACCACGAGCACCTGAGATCCAAACACACGAAATATCCCCATTATCCTCAGACTTTTTAAATACCTTCATGACAAAAACAAATTCCTAAAGTTGTGCTCCCTCCACCACAAACAGAAGGTTACACAGGATCTCAGATGTGGAACTGGAAGAGACATCAGGGACAACCTAAGCCAACCCCAACATCATACAGATGAGGAAACTGAGGCCCAGAGATATTAAGAGATTAAGAAATTACTTGCCCAAGGTCAGTAGGAGTCAGAATTCAAACTCACATCATAGTTTGACCATAGATCATAGGCAGCTGGGCAGCTAGGTAGAGTAGTGGTTAGACTGCTGAACTTGGAACCAGGAAGCCGCATCTTCCTGAGTTCAAATGTGGCCTTGGACACTTACTAACTATGTGACCTTGGGTGAGTCATTTTACCTCTGTTTTCCTCATTTGAAAAATGGGAACAATAACAACACCTACCTCACAGCATTGAGCAGGCACAATGCCTGCTAAATAATAGTCACTATATAAAAGCTTATTCCATTCCAGGTCTTGTAACTGAAGGTTTGGCTCTCTTTTCATTGTACCATGTATGTCAAGCATTAACATACAGTTGAACTCTAACCTACAATTCCCTCTGCTGATAAGAAAATGACCGGTTCTTGAGCTAGGCTAAATCCACTGGTATTCTTCAGCAATATCCGAATCTCATAGCTCACCTTCTACTTAGGGGAAGGAAAGGAATAAGCATTTATGAAGCACCTCCTATGTGCCAGGCACTGTACCAAGCACTTTACAAATATTATCTCATTTGGGAGTATAACATGGATTGTCTTTACAATAACAGAGACTGTGGAGGAAGGGAGCCCCACAAAAATAAAAGATGAAAATGACTGCCATCATCTGGAAAGAAGCCCAATTGGCCTTTCCAGAATGTCATGGTTCATGCCTTTATTCATTTAGGATTGATATGTCCTAGTATTTTGCAGGCAGTTTTGGAGTTTTTTTATGCTTGATGTTCATTGGGACAGTTTTAAGTTGAGGTTAGCAAGATGACAAAGCAAACTCAGAAAAAGAGAATAATGAATTGCCTTTCTGGGCCTTATCCTAGCTAAGTGGGCTGTGCTATGTCTCTGCCACAGAGCCACATCTCTTAGGTCCCAAGAACTAGACTCTGGGAAAAGGAAGTATTTGGTGATCTGAATGTCCATGCAGGTCAGTCGTTTTTGAAATCTCATTTTAGAATTCTTCATTTTCCCTGTGATCACTGGGTTGATAATTTCTGTTACTTCCCAGCAGCTAGATCATCCTTATCTCATAAAGACACATCTAAGACATAGACGTGCCCACAGTCTACAAGAGGCTTTGGCCTGCCTGAAACGTTGATGGTGCCATGAATAAAAACAAATCAGAGTATTAGGGAAAGGGGAAAGAGAAGAGGAGGTCCACCTGAGCTTTTTCTCTTATATTTAACATGGTTTGTGATAACCTGTTTCAAAGATAATGGATCTAAGGCATTAAATCCAAACCAATAATTATTATCATTAAAAAGGCATATTTCTGATTCAGAAATATTGCATGAGGCAGCAAGAGAAAAACCTAACCCTATCACTTTGGCGTTCTTTAGGATTTTCAGGCAGCTTACCAATAGTAGGCTCCATTCTTGGGTTATTTTCACCAGTAGATCCAGCCACCTTCAAAGAGAGTCTGCCATTAAATATATTTAAGGCTCTGGGCAATCTCTCAGGGTTATATTTCAGAGTAATTACAATGAGCAGCACCACTAAGGAATGGAATTAGAGCAAAGGTGGTATGTGAGGTAGGGAAGAGAGAATCATATCCTTCAGGATAACTTTCCCAATACTTTCTAGGTTTCCATTAATTAATGGGCCTCCTTTCTTCCCTTAGGTGAGGATGAGTGCTAAGCTGTGAGGGTATAAAATTTCCTTGTGATAGACCAGCCACATATCCCAGAGGGATGCTTGGGTTTTTCCCAGCTCTGTAGACACTCTCAGATCCTATCAGCTAAGATTCCCTGAATTGTCTTTTTCTTTGTACTGTGCCTGTCCCTCCCCCTACTTCATATTGGCCTGTTTCTCTAAGAACTATGCCTCATATCCTTTGGCATGACACCTAGCATAGTGATGGGCAGGTAAAAGACCATCATCATCAAATATTCATTGAGCACGTACTATGTGGTGCCAGGTGCTGTTCTATATACTAGGAAGATAAGTACAATGAAATAAATAATCCCTACTCACAGTGAGCTTACTTGCTACTGGAGAAATAACAAGTATATACAAAAATATGTACAGCATATATATATATATATATATATATATATATATATATATATATCATATATATATATATAAATGAATAAATATCTACAAAGCAGCTACATACAAGATTGTTTGGGAGAGAAGACACCAACAGTTGAGGAAATCAGTAACAGTTTCATGCAGAAAAAGTTGTA